TAGCCTCATTACTCTTAATAAACCCTAAGCCGTAACAAAGGGCTCCAAATGTGGCCTCTGCAATGCACACCAAAAGTACAAACAGGGACACCATCCATGCGCAACATGGCACTGTTAGTACTCTGATATTTTTCGGCTGTTGATGGAATCAGCCTCTCTGAGAGCTACCACAGAGTTCGGGAAACCTGACTACCAGCCGGCCTCAGAACCATAAAACTGAGTTTTAGAGCTGTACCCTCATTAGGAGATAATAGAATGAGTTGCCCAGTCATAAAAATAGAGACACAAGCAATACCCACGCATTGAGTCAAGAAGATCCAGCGTTCAACATCCTAAACTGGAAACAATGTATTAAGAATACATCTGCGCCAGCCTAATAGATGAGGAAGGGGTGCGAGGCTGGTCAACAGATAGAATCTGTTTACCCCTTAAGTCTTTGCCTAGGAGGCCTTCTACAAGACAGCAGCTGGATGCATGTAACATCTGCCCAAGATGAGTATTTTTATCGAGACACCATCTCTAGCCTTTACTCAACCAAGAGCCCCAAGGCAGGGGGTGTTTTAATTCGGAGTTAACTTCTCCTAGCCTTTGCCTAAAAAAGCGTATCCTACAAGGCAGCAGGACATGGAGCAGGTTGTACTGGGTTACATGTTACCAGTAGCAGGAAAACCTGACCTGACCTTAGGAAAACCTGACCTGACCTTAAATATATATATATATATATATATATATATATATATATATATATATATATATATATATATATATATATAATATATATGTATGTATGTATATGTATATATATGTGTGTGTGTGTGTGTGTGTGTGTGTGTGTGTGTGTGTGTGTGTGTGTGTGTGTGTGTGTGTGTGTGTGTGTGTGTGTGTGTATATATATATATATATATATATATATATATATATATATATATATATATATATATATATTAGGATACGTCACTTAAAACAAAAAAGAAACATTGAAATATAATTGATGCTAGATGTTTCTTAAAGCAAAGAAACTTTTAGCATCAATATTATAGTGCCAATATATATAATGAATAAAAATTCTAAAAAAAATTAGAAAAAATTATTTTTTTCCTACTGGGGAACTAGTTTTTTGTCATCGTAAAATCAAAAAATTTCCAATTTAAAAAAAAAATTATATTTCAGTGAATTTCAATCTAATTTTAACTTTATTTGTGTATAACACATGAAAAAACTGGTAAAATCATAAAAACAGATGCAGATGCATCTGTCACCTCTTTTACCACTCTATGTGTGTAGGGTAAAGTAAGGTGCTTCAAACAGTGTCTCTAAGATGTTGTCAAGATCTTTTGTAGATATTTGAAAAGTAAATACAGGTTCTGATTAATCTTCTTTGTCCGAGTGGATCAGTTCTTGTATGGATATAGCTCCTAGATTGAGTTGGACCTTCTTCCTTGACCTGAATCAAGTTTCTCCATATTCTGAACCTTTCTGTACCTCTTATGGTTTTAATGACAAACCCTGGGTCCATCTTGCCAAAAGTCAAACATGTAATCAGTTTATAGCAGAGAGATGAATCTATTTACATTGAACTTTTGAAGGGATCTGGATTAATGGTTTAAACTACACAATAGCTTCAAATGTATCAAGTCTTTCCATACTATTCATATTGGTCCAGTGAAACCAACCTTTGAATTGGTGGGTCCATCCAGAGTGACAATAATGTGCCTCAAAAGAAGCTCAATGCAATGTAGCATACAAATACGCCAGAAACACTTTCTACCCAACAATTGTTCAAGATTTGTCAACAAACCTTTTTTGTCAACAAACTCCATCTTTCCCTCTTACAGCATTTGTTGAATTTCCTCCTATTACTTCTAGAGTTTTATGTACTACCCAAGAAACCATCCAGTTAAATAGTCCAATAGCTGCTTGTTTAACAAGTGTATTAGGAGGCATTACCCTCATGGGTACAAAATGTGTAATATAATGACTGTCAGGTTCAGAAGTAACACTATCGTGTTCTTCTTACACCTTTGATGAAATTGTTTGTTACAGGGTTATGCTTTAAAATTCTGGTAAAATCTTTTCTGTCATCAGCAAATATACCTTTGATAGGTTGTAATTGAATCTTCATTTCTTCCGATGTCTTTGCTTTAGTTATAACTGCTTTCGAAGCTTTAACAACTTTCTTATGATCTACAGCCAAATAGGATATTCCAGATATTAAAAAGTTACATAGAGTAAGGTCTTGCAAAAAGCTGAAACTACTGCTAATGTTGCAGCTGGTGAAATATCAAATCTCCAAAAAGCTTCAGCACTATTACTAATAGACATAAAATTTAGGCTCCAGTTATTAGTTGAAGCAGGTTCATTGTCCATTTCTATTCTACTTGAATTATCACCACTTATGAAAGACTCAACAAGATCTTTATTCTATGAAGTTTCTTCCTTCTTTTTTTCTGATTTTTTTTTCTAGACTTGACTTTCTTTTCAGCTTCCTCTTTTCTAAAGAAACCTGTCTAGCTGTTTCCTTAGTATCTTTACAAGTTATTTGATATTTTGATAGTGACCCAGTATTTTCTCTTTCAGTTTTTAACCAAATAAGTTCACTTTTTGGAATCTTTTTTCCAAGCAATAGATCTAATTTGATATCCCATGTGAAAAAAACTTTTTGGGCTAATAGAATTAGCCTGAGTAATTTTAGTGATATTTCCTCTAGAAATATCACTAAAATTATTCCAGACTTATTCTATTTTCTGTACCAAAGATATCTTGTTTAATACCACAGGAAACTTGAAAAGAGCATTCAATCATGTCCACTGTTGAAGAACTAAGTCTGCTAATTGTACACTAAAATCTCTTACAGAAATCAGCCTCCTTAAAAATAAAACAAATAATAAAAAGGTTTGACTTAGTGAATATAAACAGTATTTCTGCAAGCTCTAAAGTGACTTTTCATTATTTTCATTATTCAATATCTTTTTTAACGAGCAAACATTCTTGTATTAAAAGACACTTCCTCAAGGTATCTCTAACAGTAGGCACTTTTTTATTCTAATTTAATTTAGTAATTTTAGAAGCACTCATTCTTCCCGTTAATATTAAATAAGTACTACTAATTAACAAAACTGGAAATCTACCTATCAAACTTTTGTACTGCGTATTCATGTATGAGGTATGTGAATGCACCGCATAGAAGTAATTTCTTTGAGTTTTATTTATTCCTAGTATGAATTAATGAAAACATATGTTTGAATACAAAAATATTTCAGAATGTGATGTACTGTATTCTTTCCAGAGTATATTTAAAAGATTACATTAGTACAGAAGTGTGCATTATGCACAATGTATGCGAAGTACACTCTTGTACTAATGTATTAAACATAGACAATAATGTACACTTCTGTACAATGCAATAAATCTAGAAAATAACTATTTAAAATAACCAGAATTTTGCATTCATAAATATACAAGGCCGACAACGCGGTTTTCAAAGTTTTGGGAGGGGCAAAATCATCAAATACTAAAAAAAGGTCCTCCATATCTATAAACTACAAAACCTTTAAAAAAAAAAGTCCTTTTTAGAAAAAGTGTGTATGGGGGGAGGGGGGGGGAAGGGGATGTGACTTCCTGATCCTCTGGCGTCATCAGCACTGATATAACTTGAATTTTTCAATGCCAATCATGTTACCATTTTTTAACTATTTTTTAGACACAAAGAACATCAAAATTCTTCAAAATCAACATCATTCTTGTTTTAAGTGACACTCTAATATATATATATATATATATAAATATATATATATATATATATATATATATACACATATATATATATATACACATATATATATATACATATACATATATATATATATATATATATATATATATATATATATATATATATATATATATATATATATATATATATATATATATATATATATATATATATATATATATATATTTATATATATATCAAAATGCTAATTTTTTATAATTCCAATAAGATTTTACCAATTAATATGATTATTCAATTTTTATGAACTATATAATTACCAAAATTTATTAAACAAATACCCATCAACATCACACATGGTTTAAGTATAACATAATGGTTTTGTTTTTTTCTTTGAAAGAGTCTTTAAACCAAATTTAATACTTAATCAGAATTATATTAGTAATTTTTTAAAATAATTAATTTAAAAAGTGATATATCTTTGGATTATATTTCTATATATTTTTGTTGTTTGTCAAATTCAAATTTTGTGACAAGCAAGATTAAAAAAACTAAAAATTTTAAAATCAAAAAAAAAATAATAATAATAAACTTGAGAAGAAGTATCATAAAAGCTTTTAATGTTTATTTTCATATTTTTGCCTTGGTTATTTCTTATTTTTTTAAGGAAAATGTTTTTTTTAATGTTATAAAAACTGGGTCATTTTGTGAAACCAAAATGACCCAGTTTGGACCATCTTGAAATTGAAATATTTCTGGAATGATTTAAGATTTAAGAGCAAAGGTTTTGGTGTGAATTTTGTAACATGCAACAACAACAGTCGTTTGAAGAAAATATGAAGACCAATTGTTCTTTATTTTGGATGATTTGATAAGGAATTATATAAATGAGACATCAAAATTGAACTAAACTTACTGAGATTTGACTTTTAATTATTTTTTAAATTTGTGAATTTTTACGATCTGACATCTTTCTAAAAAAACGAATTCCCCGGTAGGTAAAAAAACTTTTTTTCAATTTTTTTTTGAAATATATATATATATATATATATATATATATATATATATATATATATATATATATATATATTAGGGTATGTCACTTAAAACAAGAATGAGCTATGAAACTTCTAGCATCAATATTATAGTGCCAATATATATAATAAACTCATACTCTAATTTTTCTTGTTTACAACTTAAAAGTAAAACTCAGAAAAAAAATATAAATAAATATAACTAAAAGTATAAATTAAATGAGATAAAGTCATACCGTAATTCTTTTTGTTTACTATTCAAAAGTGAAGCCACGTACTTGTAGATATATTCATTACCAGATTTTGTTTTGTCTGTTTGCATCCAAATAAAACCCTATAAAAGTAATTATACTTAATATTCAACAAACCTTAGAAAATAAGTGCAAAGTTACTGCAAAATGTTATCAAATGTCAATGTTTTAACTTACTTAAAAACATATTAAATATTACAAAGAACTGACGCTCAAAGAAAAAAACTAAATAAATAACAACTTTTAGTGCACTTAGGAACAGTAACAGTAAAAAGATGAGACTTAATTGAATAACGAGTAACAGGAGAAGGAATTTTAGTAGATGGAACAGGAGATGCTAGCTCTTTAGAGCAGCACATACTATAGTATTTGTAGAAAATAGAAAGATAAGCAACATTAAGACAATGTGACAATGGTTGGAGATTGGCTGCAAGAGCAGGTCCAACTATGTCTGCAATGCATTTTTGCACCTTGTCTAAAAGAGAGAGAGCATCATCCAAAGACAAGACGCCTCCAGATATGGCTACAGTATTCCATACAAAGACGAATTTGAAATTTATAGAAAGAATAGAATCTGGAGTGAGAAAGTGGCAAGCACAATAGAGAGAGGCAACCTTAGCTGTTGCTAATTTTGCAATGGATTTAATATATGTTTTCTAAGAAAGATCTGAAGTAATAATTAATCCTAGAAGATGAAGGGTAGATGACTAATCAAGAATGTTACAGTTCATAAATATAGGAAGATCTAGATTGCTGTGATAATGATTAGCTGAAAACAATTGAGTTTTATCTGAGTTCAAGTTCACAAGCCACTAAGAGCCCCATGCTATAGCAGATGTAAGATCCTTTTTCAAGCTCAAATGTCCCCTATGCAATTGAGAGTGATGGCTTCTTATCAAGATAACAATAAGTAGTAGTATCATCAGTAGTATCATCAGCCTCGATGGCCAACTTAAATGTGCGAATTTCTGGGAGATTGATAATGTAAATTAACGATCTCCCAGGAACTCAAAAAGAGTGCTGGCCATCGAGGACATCTTTTATACTATGATTTGAAAGAAAGGGTTCAATAATCTTAAAGATACAACCTGATACACTGTCCAAAGAGAGTTTATGGAAAAGACCAGCATGCCAATTTTTATCAAAGGTTTTAGAAATGTCAAGAACAATAGTCTTAACCTCTTTACACCTATCTAATGCAAAATATAACCTTTTGGTTATTATCATTAACAAATCAGCAGTAGAATGAGAAGATCAAAATCCATGTTGGTTATCAAAGTTAGTAGATCAAGTTATTAGATTCAAGATGAGAGATTAAGTGTTTGGTAATTAAAGACTCAAAAACCTTGCTTATGATAGGAAGAAGAATAATGGGATTTTTAAAATGAAATATGAAATTTTGTGACCTGAGAATACCAGGCTTTGGCGCTGGAAAAAATCTTTTTAAAATGGTTTCTAGCAAAATAAATTTTTTTCTGTTAAGTGTGAAAAAATTTTTTCTGTTAAATGATCCATAAACTAATCCATAAATCTAAAAATTTTTTAACACTACTTCCATGTTTGCTTCTTTTCCTCAGTTCCTTTCACAATTGTTCAGTAAGATTTAATTACTCACCGGTCAGATCAGCTTCCCTTTGGAACAAATTTTTCTAACACCACTTCATTACATTTATGGAAAAGTAAAGTTTTTGTAATGCTTTTAATAATGCTTTTTTCCATTTTTTTTATTCCATTTTAGAGGTGATAACATTTTGGTTAACATTTTGGTTAACAGGTTAAACTTAAAAGCAGTTTAAACATTACAAATATTCAAAACTAAAGTGTGCTTTAACAAAAAACATTTATTCAAAACATTTAAATGTAAAATCATTATTTTTTTTATTAATATATGTGCAAACACATGTATCAAGATTAAATATTTTTGTACATATCTTAATAAAAAAGGTTCAATTTTTAACAAAACATTTGAAAATATTTTTTTATGTCTTGTTTAAGCAAAAAATCTTTTTACTGTTATTTTTTTTGAAGTTTTTAAAGAAAAATAAAATACTTAAACAACAATAATTTGGTTAAATGTCACTTCCAATTCCAGAGTAAATTAATTCAGATTATGTAATTAAACACAGGGTGAGAATTATATTATAAAGTAACGCTTTTTAATCAAATGACATTTAAGTTTCATAATCATTAAAATAACTATTTATATATATTTATATATATATATATTTATATATATATATATATATATATATATATATATATATATATATATATATATATATATATATATATATATATATATATATATATATATATATATGTATATATAAATATATATATATATTTATATATTTATATATATATATATATATATATATATATATATATATATATATATATATATATATATATATATATATATATATATATATATATATATATATAAATATATATATATATACATATACATATATATATATATATATATATATATATATATATATATATATATATATATATATATATATATATATATATATATATATATATATATATATATATATATATATATATTTATATACACATCCCAGCTAGCATTATTAAAACACATACATTGTTAAAACATTAGAACAATGTCGTGCGTTTTGTTGGCCCAACATCAGCTGCCAACGTTGTTTTTTGTTGCCAACAACTAAAAACCGATGTTGATAAAACGTTTATTTAAATTCAGAAAATGTTTATATTTTCTGCGTTGATTCAATGTTTTATTTTATACGCTGTCCTAACGTTGTATTTTAAGTTGGCACAACGTTGTATTTTAGTTGGTTCAACATTGAACCTTAATTAGCAAAACGTTGCATTCAATAGTAATCGTAATTAAATTTTAATTTTAATTCCGATTAGTATTGAATGCAATGTTTAAATTCTATTTTCGTTATATATATATATATATATATATATATATATATATATATATATATATATATATATATATATATATATATATATATATATATATATATATATATATATATTTATATATATATATATATATATATTTATATATATATATATATATATTTATATTATATATATATTATATATATATTATATATATATATATATATATATATATATATATATATATATATATATATATATATATTTATATATGTGACTATATTTATGAATATATTTTAAATGTAGTTAATGCTTGTTCATCGAAGCAAAAATCATGTTTGTGTTGATTGTGGTTTGATATTTTAATAATCACAGAAGATTTTATTTAAGTTATATAATTACTCAATAGCAATGTTTGGTCGTTTGATTTATATACATTGAACCAACGTCAATATATATACATTGGATCAACATCGGGTTTAGATCGTAAAAACAATCAACTTTTTGCGATGTTTTTACATGCATTGGACCAATGTAAATTTGCCAGACATTTTTAGTTCCGTCGGTAATAATTTTATCATTAACCAAATGACATTTGATCAACGTTTTACATTGGAAAAAAGAGCCGACATTTGCGATGCTTTTACATACTTTGGCCCAATTTAAGTGTGCTAGCTGGGATATACATATATTTATAAAAAAAAATTGCAGACAGGGTAAAAAAATTTGAATTTTATCAATATTTCAGCACATGCTTGCAGCACAAGCCAATATTATATACCAATTTAAAGGTTTAATTACTATATTGTTTTGAACGAATATTGATAATTTAATCAGCATATTTCAATCGATTAAAGCCATAACAATATTTGATGAGTTGAAAAATTTGCGGAATAAGCAAATTATATTTTAAAATTAGGAATTTTCCAACGATATTTGATCATAATTTATTAGAAATGCCAAATCACATTACTATTTTGTAGAACTACCTATACAATCCAGAACAGCTTTGCATCTACAAAGCATAAAATCAACTAAATTAATGTAAACAATATGGGAATAAAGTGCATAATTTCATTGATTTTTCTGAATTAATAAGCACGATTTGTAGCTTGATGCCTAATATTAGGCAATCAACATGTTCCCATAAATATATTTAATGGTCAACATGTTCCCATAAATAATCAATGACATTTAAGCCCAAATAACAAATATCAACTTCAAAACATGAACTTTACTGTTTTTAAAAAGTTTTTTAACCAATTTATCTGTGTGTTTGGGATCGTAATCATGATAGTATATCCGTCCTCAAGTCATTTTATCCTTTGCATGAGGTAACACAATGCTTTTACATATGTCTTAGTATATTTTTTGATCAATAATTCCAGTATATCTATGGAGCAAATTAACATCATCCTGACTAAAAATCCTCAAAGCATTACATTACCTTCTTATTTAGTTATTATACATTTCTTATACCCTGTGACCTCAATCACTTATAAATGAAGCTTTTTTAATTATTCCTACAGATCATTTGTTTACAATATCAATAAACTAACAATTTCTTGGAAAAAATGTGAAAAACTTCAGTATGTTCGCAAATTTTCCAGCTCAGTAAAAATTATTTAATAATCTTCAAGTCAGTTAAAGTATGTTAATTAAATAACCAATGTTTGCTCGAAAATCATTGTAAACATGAAAATCTTTTAATTGGTATATAATATGTTGAATTAAGTGGTATATAATATTGGTATATAATATGTTGAATATATAATATGTAATATGTATATAATATGTAAATTGGTATATAATATGTTGAAGTAAGTGCTGAAATATTAGTAAAATTCAATTTTAATTAGCCTGTTTGTAAATTTTAGACTGCTAATGTATATATTGCACTAATAACTTAATATATTGCAAATCTGGTATTGCATTAAAAAAAAATTTTTTACCTGACCATTTTTCCTTTGCTTCAATCGGAATTTGATTTTAATTATAACTGTCCATGTAAACTTTATTATTAACAGCAAAAGACAAATAAGTTTTGGCAAATCCAAAAAAAAGGACAATGCTTTAAATCCCTTTAAAAAAAATTAACTTTATTTAAAATAAGTTCATAAAATTCATTTGTACTGGGGAGAATGAGGATGATTATGTTAAGAAAATTCATAATTTTAAAAAACTATTGAAGAACTCACAAAATGGTTATTATAACAAGAAAGTATGTTTATTTAGTTGAAAAATGGATGCATAGCAATAAAATGAACAGAAAGCGGTAGTGGTGTAGCGGTTGAGCGCACGCTTCATAAACAAGAGGTTCCGAGTTCGATCCCCACCACTTCCCTGGTAGTACCGCACTCAACTTGTTTCTCCGCACAGCAGCCTTGTTTGTCAAATTAGTGTTTTGGAGTTATAGAGTTGAGAGAGACTTATAACCACAATAAAGTAGCCTCCTCGCCTGTAGCAACCTTCTTGGCCTTGAGGAGGTGAATTAACAAAACAAAACCAAAAAAAATTAATAAAACTTTAGTGAAGTATACCAAATTGATGATATATGGGCCATTGGTGAGGAAACTGGTTCATGAGGTGATAATAACAGTACTGTTTCAATAACATTTAAAAAAAGATTAATGATATATTTCAATTACATCTATAGGTTTCCCGTTTTGATATTTATAGATATTTAAAGGTACAACATAAATTTGTTGAAAGAACAAAAAAAAAAGTAGTTAATATAAAAAAAAGTAAAAATAAGAAATTCATTTGTTGTCAAAACATAATAGGCTGCTGCTGATCTACAGGAAGCAGTTGTATAAAAAGTGTGAATAAATGATTTAAATGATTTTATGTGATGAATGAACTTTAAATGAAATGTAAATGAACATTAAACGATTTTAAAAACAAACTTCAAAATGTATTAAGTAAAATAAGTGGCACAAAAACAAAAACTGCTTTTAAAAATATTGATATTCATTTAAAATCTAGGAAAATGTTGTATGAAGGAAACAACATTATTAAGTTATTTCATTATGTGCAGAACTGCACTAGATATCTTGTTTGGGCTGTAGAGGTGGTGGCACAAATATCACCTACGCCATCATTCTCACTATCCACTATAAAATTATACTATATAATTATAGTATTTAATTTATGCTATATAATCAATAAAGACTTTTTTCAACTTCGTTTCCTACAAAGCAGCAAGCAACCACAATTAGAGTTAAAAGTTACTGGAAGAGAAAAGATGAAGTTTATAAAGCAAGATAACAATTAACAGACAACTTAAAAGATTGCTAATTATATGAATCAGGAAAACAAGATAAAAGGAGTGAATCCCAAAGAATTGATGTTTGAGGAAAAAACTAGACGAAAAAGAATTTTTTGGGCATTTAAGAACAGTCAAAGTAAAAGGATGAGACTTGATTAAATGATGAGTAGCACAAGAAATTCTATGTAGATGGCACAAGAGACGCTAGATGCACCCATTATAGTATTTATAAAAAAAAGAAAGAGAAGCAACATTATGACGATGTGATAAGGTTGGCTGCAAGTGCAGGTCCAACTATGTTTACAATCCATTTTTGCACCTTGTCTAAAAGAGAAAGGGCATCATTCAAAGATCCACTCCATCAACCACAGCAAATGCTAATTTTGCAATCGACTTGATATATGGTTTCCAAGAAAGATTGGAAGTAAGAGTTAATCCTAGAAGTTGAAGGGTAGATGACTAATTGAGTACCATTCATAAATATAGGAAGATATAGATTATTGCAATGATAAACTAAAAAAAAATATGCTAAAAAAATATAAAAGTATGCTAAAAAAATATAAAAATATGCTAAAAAAATATAAAAAATATGCTAAAAAAGTATAAAAAATATTTATCTGAGTTGAAGTTCACCAGCCACTAAGAGCCCCATGCTGTAACAGAAGTGAGATCCTTTTTCAAGCACAAATGCCCCCTCTAAGCAATTGGAGAGTGTTTTTTATTAAGACAAAAATAAATAATAGTATTATCAGCAACCAATGCCACCTTAGATATAAGAATTTCTGGTTGATCATTAATGTAATTTAAAAAGAATATAGGGCCAATGATTGAACTTTGAGGAACCCTTGAAGTTACAGGAAATAAAAAAGAGTGCTGGTCATCAAGAACAACCTTTATATTATGATTGGAAAAAAAGGATTTAATAATCTTAAATATGTTATCCGATTCCATTATCTTAAAGATGTTACTAGATTCAAACCTAATTTCCAGAAAAATGGGTAAATTCTTATGAATGTAAATGCCTAGACCAAGCATGTGACTATTGGAGTCTTTACGAACTAAAGGAAGATTTTAATGTTTTCAAGTTTTACCGTTACTTATGCAGTATTTTAAAATAATTTTTAATATTTCAAAATTAATTTTAAAATAATTTTTTTGAAGTTGTTTGCTAAGTTGTTAAAAAGTTGCAGCTTATATTTTTCTGTTTAATTATGGTGATAATGATGACAATAAGTTGTTAAATATATTCCATTTTAAATGCATTTTATCTTTTTTAATATGTAAAAAAACTTTAAATTTCATTTGATTATATGAAAATTAAACACAATTATATAATTTTATATAAAATATTTTATTAGCCAGCATTATTTAGTCATCACCACATAAATTTTTCTTTTTATCGCCTTATGCCTTAAGTTATTGACTTTTTAAAATGTATTAAAGTTTTATTAGTTGTTTTATTACTAGGTGTTATGTGTAATCATGATTCAATTAAGTTAAGTTAAGACTCAAATATTATATACTTAATTTTTTAAAGATATATTTTTTGTTGTAATTTATTGACATTCAAACAAAGACTAGTAATAAATATCATAAAAGATTGGGGCAGTAATAGTTCAGAATGATATGGGTATCAAGTTGAGTTTAATTAAGATGTTTAATGTTAGTTTGATTTTTTTTAATGTATAAACTAATAAATATTTTTAAATCTTATTTTAGTATAATATATATAAAGCAATAACAATTGTTTTATATATAATACATATATAATATGTATATATATATATATATATATATATATATATATATATATATATATATATATATATATATATATATACACACATATATATATATATACATATATATAAATATATATATATCTGTTTTCGATAGCGACTGTATTTGGGCGCTGCCTAAATTAAAAAATGAGGGCTTTTTTTTTTACGTTTTTTAACATTTTTTTAAACTTTTTATGGCAAATATTGTTTTTTTCGCGAAAAAAACACCAATTTTCCGCTAAAGTTCACCGGAATAAAGGGGTACCGCCACCCAAATTTTTTTCCTAGAATAGGCCCTGTATATATAATATACAACAAAATTTAAAACTTCTCGCTCAAAAAGTGCAAAGTTTTTTTCTATTAATTTCCATACTTCTTTAAATAACTCTGTATCATTCTTATATTTAATTGCATTGAAGGATTTTAAGAGATTTACATTCCGAACTTTAAAAGATATTTTGGCTGATGTTTTCTCGATTACATGAACTACAATATTAGCTTTTCTAAATATCCTCAGCATATTAGGCAAATGTGTTCTTTCGAAAATGATTTAATAAATCTTGTTAAAACCATCAAATTTTGAAAAATCAAAAATGTTTTTCAAGAAAAAATAGCAAATGATATAAAATCTATACGAACCTCAAAAAACCTTTAATTTTGTTGACAAAACATCAAACATGTATAAATTATCCTGCCTGGATAAGCAGTAATGACTAAAGCAAAGACATCTGAAGAAATGAAAACTCATTTACAACCTATCAAAAGTATATTTGCTGATGGCAGAAAAGATTTTACCAGAATTTTTAAGCACAACCCTGTAACAAACGATTTCATCAAAGAGTTTCCAAAGAAGAACACATTAGTGTTACTTCTGAACCTGACAGTCACTATATTACACAATTTACACTTATGAAGGCAATGCCTCCTAATAAACTTGTTAAACGAGCAGCTATTGGACTATTTAATTGGATGGTTTCTTGGGGAGTACATAAAACTCTAGAAGTAATAGGAGAAGATTCAACAAACGCTGTAACTGGTTCAGGGAAAGATGGAGTTTGTTGACAAAAAAGGTTTGTTGACAAATCTTAAAACAATTGTTGGGTAGAAAGTATTTCTGCTGTATTAGTATGCTACATTCCAATGAACTTCCTTTGAGGCACATTATTGTCACTCTGGATGGATCTACCAATTCAAAGGTTGGTCTCACTGGACCAATATGAACAGTATGAAAAGACTTGATACATTTAAACCTATTGTACAGTTGAAAATATTAATCTAGATCCCTAAAAAAATTCTAAGTTTAATGTCAAAAGATTCATCTCTCTGCTATAAACTGATTAAATGTTTGACTTCAGGCAAGTTGGGCCCAAGGTTTGCCATTAAAACCATCAAAGAGGTACTGAAAGGTTTAGAGTATGGAGACACTTGATTCAGACCAAGGAAGAAGGTCTAACGCAATCTGGAAGCTATATAACATACAAGTACTGATCCACTCAGACAATGAAGATAAATCAGAACCTGTATTTACTTTTTAAATACTTACAAAAGATCTTGACAATTTCTTAGAGACACCTTTTAATGCACCTTATTTTCCACTACACACATAGTTTTGTGAAAGAGCGGTAAAAGAGATGACATCTGCATCTATTTGTGGATTTGAAAGATGAGATGGATTTGTTAGGGCCAGGATGGTTCATAGACTAATAATGCCTAAACTGCACTAAAAAAAATATTTAAGAAACATTTTTTATAAAGACACTTGAATTTGATTATTTATACTGTAAATATATGTTTCAACATGAATATGTAACTTTGCCAAACAAATAGTTAATCTTAATGTCATTTGTTTTTTTCTTTTCCATATCTGTTTAGACATATTTAAGATAAAAATCAGACTAAAATTTAATTACTTAAAAGACGTTAATTTTACGATCTGACATCTAAAAATGCTAATTTTACGATCAGACATCTTCCCTGGTAGTTATAATTTTTTTTTCTTTTCTGAAATTTTTTTATTATTACTTAATACTAT